CGGCCTCCGGCGCCAGCTTTAGCCCGGCCATGGGCTCCGTCTTCCAGTTCGGCAAGCCCCCTGCCGCGCCCGCGTCGACGGCCGCCACCACGTTTGGCCAGCCCGTCCCCGGGGCCGCGCAGACAGCCGCCAGCAGCGGCGGCACCTCCGGCTTCGGCGGCTTCGGCGGCGGCCTCACCACGCCCGCGCCCGCCACCAGCAGCCCGCTGGCCCTGACCTTCACCACCACCGCCGCCGCCGTCCCGGCCTTCCACATTCCCTTCGGCTCGAGCCCCAAGCCCGCGCCGCCGTCGTACCCGGGCGCCAACCCCCAGCCCGCGTTCGGGGCCGCCGATGGGCAGCAGCAGGGGCCCGCCAAGCCCGCCCTCGCCCCCAGCTTCGGCAGCTCTTTCGCTTTCGCGAACTCCGCGGCCCCGGCCCAGGCCGCCACCCCGGCGCCCGGCCCGGCCCAGCCCGCCTTCGGCAGCGCCGCACAGTCCGCTTTCGGCGGCTTGAAGCCTGCCGCCTCCACCTTCGGCACCCCCGCCAGCACCCAGCCTGCCTTCGGCAGCGGCACGCCTGTGTTCTCCTTCGGGGCGGCCACCACCTCGGGTTTCGGAGCTACGACCCAAACCACCAGCAGCGGGACCGGCAGCTCCGTGTTCGGCGGCACGACGCTGTCGCCCTTCACGTTTGGGGGATCCGCCGGCCCGGCCGGCGGCGGGGGCTTTGGGATCAACGTGGCCGCCCCTGGCACCTCCGGAGCGTTCAGCTTTGGCACGGGACAGAGTGGGAGCACCGGAGGCACAACCCCTTTCGGAGGAGGCTTGAGTCAGAGCACGTTGGGCGCTCCCAGTCAGAGCACACCCTTTGCCTTCAACGTGGCCGGCACGCCCGAGAGCAAACCTGTGTTTGGAGGTAAGCTCTGGAATGGCCTCGGTCTGCCACACCGGGCGCGGGTCTAAATGCCAGCTCGGCCCCCTCGCCGACAGAGCACCACGGTCTGGCTGGGCCCGGGCTGGTGGTCAGTAGTTAGACACGGGTTCGGGGAGCAGGAAGCCTCCGGGCAGGGGGCAGTGTGTCCTGAGTGGCCGTGGAGGAGCTCCTCGGGTAGTCAAGGAGGGCAGGCCTCTCGGGGCAAAATGAAACCAGTTCTGTATGTCGGGTACAGGGACGGGAGTGTGGTGGGTAGGTGTGTGTGTGTGAGAGAGCACGCTTTTCGGGCACACGGGCACTGATGCAAAGGCCCAGGGGCAGGAGCAAACTCGCTCTGTTCGTGAACAAAAAGCAAGGTGTGGCTTGAGGATCTAAAAATGGAAATGATCCAAAATGCTGTGGAGAGGCAGGCCGCGTTGAAGGTCATTCAGGGCAAGGATTAAATTTGGGTTTTGAGTACAGAGGGAAATCCCTGTAGGATTTCAGGAGGATGCAGTGATCTTAGCTGCCCCGCGCAGAAGGTGACTCAGAGAGATCCTGATGGTTTGTGTTCTTAAAAGTGAGAGTGGACGGGGGAGGTGTGTGTACGGATGAGGGCCTCTCGAAGTAGTCATTCATAAAGTGAGTAAAGGAACGTAAAGAGAACCTGGTAGAATTGCCAGGAAGTTGTGAGCGCCGGTGAATTGGAGTAATGGATTTGAGGTGAGGCCAGCCCGCACAGCAACATTCACATGAGCGCTGGGGGGCAGGGGAGACCCCGCCTATGGCAGCTCCCAACAGGTTCCCCGGGGGGGGAGGGCGGCGCAGGGACCTGGGGGCCCCCTGGGAGCTAGGATGGTCCCTGGCAGCAGTGAGGGGTGACCATAGGGGGCAGGGGTGGAGGCAGACAGCGAGATGGCAAGCTCAGGGCCAGAGTGAGGTGGCCAGCCCTCCCTGCGGGCCGTTGGGAGACAGTGATGGGACTGGACAGCAGGGCCTCTGGTGGCGAGGGCAGAGGCGGTCTGCTGTGGCCATGGGAAGGCAAGGGGACCCACAGGGGCTGGGCGGGGGGGTGTTTGGTGGAAGGCTCAGGTTTCTGGAGGGAGGAACAGGTAAACGGGGAGAGGAGGCAGAACTCAAGTCATCAGAGGGATGTAACCTGGTCAAACTGAGCGTTCTCCTCCTGTGCTTTGGTGGCCACGGAAATGCAGAAAGGCTGCTCCGTAGGCCAGAGGGCAGCACTGCAGGGCTTTCGCTCAGCTGCAGCTGGTGGGGACAGCAGCAGTCCCTACCCACCACTGGGGTGAGCCAGCACAGGGGGCCAGGGCAGAGGTGCCCTGTGGGGTCAACCCCCCCCGTTTCAGTACCCGGCCCGGGATGCCCTCTGCGCACTGGCCTAGTTGCTAGTTTTCTGCGGTCTCTTCGTTCTAGGCACCTCCACACCCACCTTTGGTCAGAACACCCCTGCCCCCGGGGTGGGCGCGTCGGGCAGTGGTCTCTCCTTTGGGGCATCCTCAACACCCACCCAAGGCTTTGTTGGAGTCGGACCTTTCGGTAAGCAGCAAGTCCCCTTGGCACCAGTGTGACCTTCCTATTTCTCCAGAGAGGGAGGGGGGCTTGGCAGGTTCTTGCTCTGGGGCCCCCCTGGGAAAGATCAGCCTCATAAGCTCGAGAAACATGTGGCCCGGCTGCAAGGCCAGCCCAGCCCAGCCCAGCCCATGGAGCTGGGGGAATGTTCCCAACCACTGGAAAGCCAGGTAACAATGCCTTCCTGCTCACTAGCAGAGGATCTGGGATTCTGCATTTTTACTAGTTCCTCTCCACCCCACCCCCCACCGACCGACATGGTTTTGGGAGGCCCAGTTTAGTACCCGGCCTTCTGCTAGCCTAACCTTCCAAAGATTGGGGTGCCCGGGGAAGTGCCCCAGGCAGCAACTGCCCTGATGAGACCTTGTTGCATCTTTCTAGGCTCGGCGGCCCCTTCCTTTTCCATTGGTGCAGGATCCAAGACCCCGGGGGCTCGGCAGCGACTGCAGGCCCGCAGGCAGCACACCCGCAAGAAATAGCCTTTGGCCTTTGTCCCCCTTCCGTCCCCCCCACTCCTTGCCCAAATGTGGACCTCAGCACCTGCTAGGAAGAGCCTCTGACCCTTTTAGTTCCATAGAGCACCCCCCCCCCCCCCCGCCATCTCTGGCTTCCGCCAGTGGGGAGGCAGTGGCAGCCCTGGTGGCGGGTCCCGCTCCTCGAGGAAGCAGCCTCGGGACAGCTCCGCGGTGAGGCTGGAGAGCGCGCGAGAACATCTGTACATATGGTCCCCCTCCTTTCCTGACTCCTGTGTGGTGTGTGAGCGCTGTCAGGCGGCCTCCCTTCCCGCCGCTCCCCGCAAGAGCCGGCTTGGGGTGGGGGTGGGGGATCGCAGGCACAGCCCTCGTCCACGTCGCCGCTGGGGACGGGAGTCGGGGAGCTGGGTCAGCCCCGCAGCTTTACCTTGCTTGGCTTGCCTATAAGAAGTGGTTCTCCCGGGGCCCGTTAGGGGACCCTGCTTCCCCATCTCTTGCTGCTTTGTCCCTCACCAGTTCCTTGCAGGATCCACCTTTAAGTGGCCCCGAATTTCGCTTTGCTTTGGAGACCCCAGTGGGTGCTGCTCCTGCCAAGTCCAAGTCAATGTTTTGTCCCCCACCCTCTGCCAGTTTGGCCCCTAAAAGCTTGGTGGCTCAAGACTGTTAGCCTGGCAGCTGCAGGGGAGGAAGCGCCGGGAGCAGGCAGGACGTCCCCCCACTGCTCAGCTGCCTCCTCGCCCGCCGCCCCTCCCCCCCCCCCCCCCCCCCCGGTTGTATGTTCAAAGCCTTGTCCTGTGTTACTGTCTGATGCTCATGTCTATTGCTCTTTGAATCGAGTTTGGAGGAAGAATTGAATTGTATGAGTGGCGGCATGTTGGTAGTGCCGGACTTAACTGTTCCAAGTTTCTGGGGCCTCGCTAATTGAATGTGGGAAGTAGCACCACTTTATGGCTACGCGTGCTGACTCCTGGATTTGCAAATGGTGTTTTGACTTTAAGGGCTGGCAGCCCAAGAGGATGGGGCCGAGGGGAAGCAAAGACCTCTTCCCTCCGCTGTTCCCCCCCCACCCCCCTGCCGTGGGCTAGATCCGCCCCAGGAGGTGGTAGAAAACCAAAATTAGTGAACCACACTTCAGAGTTCTTCAGGTTCCTCCCCCCGCCCCGTTCCCAGATCACCTACCCCGGGCCCGAGAGCCTTGCTGCCATGCCCATCCTCTTTGGGAGAAGTATGAATGCGTGTGTCTAAATTAAAAGAAAAAAATATTTAAACATTTTTTAACAAAATAAAAATTTATTTTTGTATTTAAGCTAAATTGCCTTTTAAATTCCTTCAAGCTTGGTTCACTGAGGTGGTTAAGTATAAATGCTGTTGACTAGGAATTAGCTGTATAGGTAAGTTATGCCCGTGAGAGGCTCAGATGCTGTCCTCGGCAGCTCTCCTGAGGGGCCGGGGCTCCTTCAGGACACACGATGTAAAGTGTAACTCTTATTTTATAAATAATGTGACGTAGACGTAAGTAGTTCCCCCCTCACCCGTGACTGAGGTTGAGTGCTATGGCAGGCGACGGTCATGGCCGGCCCCGGCCCGGCCCCGGGAAGAGCGGGTCCGCCTTCCCTGCGTGTGGCGCTGAGGGAGAGGCCTGCACCTCCTGTCCCACGTCCGCTAGGAGGCGGGGGGCGGGGGGGGGGGCGCACGGGGCCAGAAAGCAAGCTTCCACAGATACCTGACGGAGGGTACATCCCTCTTGGCCACAGTGCTCTGAGCTAGTTTACCTCGGTTCCACAGGCAGGACGGTTGGTCCGGGAGCCCCCGGAAGAGGGTGTCCTGGTGCAGCCCGAGTGTGTGTGGGGGGTGTACACGGGTGTGCGTGTGCGTGTGTGTGTGTGTGTGCGCGCGTACACGGACGTGCACTGGACAGGAACGGGAGGCTGGGACTTTCCATGACAAAGAGTTAATTCCTGTGAGTCTAGTTGGAATTTTTAGTATGAATGTGAAGTTTTTCTCCTTGCTTATGTCATTAAGAATAAAAAACAACTGTGATCTATCGTATTCCGTGGCTCGCCTTTTATTTCTGTGGGCAGACCTCTCAGCAGGAACACGGCCCGGGAAAGGGACCCACAGAAGGAGGAAATCCACTCTCTTCCCCCCCCGCCAGGGATTCGGGGTTACCGCTTTCCTCTCTAAAGCGATAAAAAGAAAAGAACCTTTCAAAAACCTGCGGGCTGAGCTGCGGGGAGGCCCGGGCTGCTCCTCCCCGCCCGAGAAGGAGAAGCCGCGCGGACCTGCGCGCCAGGAGCCACGGCCGGGCGCCGTCTCTCCTTCCTCCGCGGCGCTGCGCTGGGCGTGGGTTCGGGCGCCGCCGCTCCAGCCCGCGGGACTGAGCTAGAAGGCAAGCACCCAAGTTAGGTGCAGCCCGGCCCTCCGGCGCCTTCCATGCAGCCCCCGTGCCCGCCCCCTCACTCACCTTGGCACCTCTACCCTTTCCAGAACGGCAACAAAGAAGCCACCAGTGAGCGTGGTCTCGGGGGAAGCCCGGAGGCAGTGTGCAGCCCCGGGGAAAGTGCCGAGGCCTCGGTGGGGCCAGGAGGGTAGGACGGGAGCTAGCCTGTGGAGAAGAGCAGAGTTCTGGGTAAAAAGACAGCAGCCGCCCCCTTCCCCAGGACCCCGGCGGGGACCTCCTCCCCCCCCCCCCCCGCCCCACTACCTGAAGGTCCCTGGGTTCTGCTGCAGGGCGTCGTGCACCACATCTTCGTTCTCCTCCTGGCAGAGGGAGCACGTGGAGTAGACCAGACGCTGCAGGGAGGGGAAGGTGAGCGCGTGGCGCAGTGCTCGCCGCTGGAACCCAGCCAGGGCCTGCAGGCGTGCCTTGCTCGGGGTGCCTGCCCCGGGCTCCTCCAGCTGTCTGGCTGGCATTCCTAGGGACAGAGCGTGTCAGCTGCAGATGGCCTCGCTTCGCACAGAGATGCCCTGCTTTGCAGGTAAGAACATTTGCCTGGGGTCACCAGAGGAGGAGGGTCCGAGCTAAACCTGAGGCCAACGCGGACCCCAGAGCTGCAGGTCCCTCAAGATACACACTGTCCCCATCTCACCTGAGCCGCTACAAGAAGGATCCAGTAAGATGTACTGGACCTGACGGTAGCGCTGGTCAGAGGGTGAGACCGCCAGGAAGTCTTCCTCCGCCAGCTCGCAGCACGAGACCCCAGCCCGGGCCAGCAGGGTAGCCATGGATGCCAGGCGCCCGGCATCCAGGTCAAAGGCAAAGATCTTCCTGGGGGACAGGAGAGAGCTGAGGCGCATCGCCGGGCACCTAAGGGCCCACAGATCTCACAGGCAGGAACACGTCCATTCGGGACACAGGAAAGAAGGGACAGCGTCCAGTTGGAGGGACCTGACCCTGGGGCTTCAGATCTCGCACCGGCCGCCCACTGGGCAGCTGAGCGTAGGGCTCCAGCACCAACCGCTCTAGGTCCAGATGGAATTCCTCTGGGCCTCCGTGCCCGGCTGGAATACAGAGTGCCCGACCTCCAAGGACGTGACCGGGCCCCGGGCCCCCCTCCCCCCTCCGGCCCCCCAGCCTGACCGTGCCACTCACCCCTGGTTCTTGAGGAGAGCAGCCAAGTGACTGGTCTTGTTGCCGGGGGCGGCACAGGCGTCGATGACGTGGGCGCCCGGGGGCGGGGCCAGCAGCGCGGCGGGGAGGCAGCTGGCCTGGCGGGCAGAGCACAGCGCTGGGGCACCGGGACCCCCCCCCCCAGCCCACGCATGCGTGCCCCCCCTCCCCGTCCCGCCCACCTGCCCCACCTTGTCCTGTAGGATGAGGTGACCGGCCCGGTACAGTGGGTGGTCGTGCAGATCCGTCTGGGCCGGAAACACCAGCAGCTCTGGCAACAAGGGATCCAGAAGAAAGCACCTGCCTCGGAGGGCCCTCGCGTCCTCGAGGCTGCCAGGGAACAAGAAGCACTGACCATGCTGGGAGTTCCTGCAGGCCGAGCGCCAGGCTGGGCCTGTTCCCTGTGACCCACGTGCCTCGCACCGCCACGGAGAAAGGGAGAGGCGGCAGGTGAGGGAACGAATGGGCGCTCAGGCCAGCCCTGGGCGGGGCGGGGGGGGGGTCCCACCTCCGCCGTTTTCCGGGGGCGGCAAGCGCCTTCGTCTCACCCCCTCGCGCTTCTGGGGTACGGCTGCCGTGAGGACGGAGTTACTACATACGAGACACTTAGAAAAGCAGCCAGCGCAAGTGAGGCACTCCAGAAATGCCAGTCAGTACTCGAAAGGATAGGCGGGGGGGGGGGGGGGGCACCGGCGTGAGGGGCGGGGGTGGAAGGCGCACTCACCGAACTCGGGGAAGGAGCACGCGGCACGGCACCTGCCCCACGCCAAGCGGCCCCGAAAGCTACCCGGGGGCAGAGCTGAGGCCATGCCCGAGCAGCCCCCCCCCCCCGGCCCCCCGCACCACCCTGGCCTCCACCGGCAGGAGGGGAAAGGGAGGGAGCAGAGGCGACTTCCCAGAGCTGTCAAACCCCGAGGAGGTGCGGGGGTGCAGGGGAGCACCGCGGCCCGGGAAGGAGGGGGCACAGCCCAGGGGCCAGCCCAGGAAGGGTCTTCGGCGGAGAGAATTTTCTGCGGCCAAACCACAGTTGAAGTCTGGAAGTGGGGAGACCAGTTCAGGAGGTTCTTTGGCCCATGAGGATAGAAAATGACAGGCAGGGTCTGGGAGGACAGAAAGGTACAGCGGGCAGGGTGGGCGTGGCAGGGGGACAGGACTCGGCCGCCAGCCTGGCCGCCACCTGTTCGCTGACAGGGAACGCTGGGGCGCACAGTGCAGGGACACGGGACGCTTCCACACCCGCACGCCAACCATACCCTGCCCCACATTCACAAAACGGAGGACAAGGGTCCTGCTCGCCTCATCTGACAAGACTCAGCACCCATTCATGGTAAAAGCTCACCAGAGCGGGTGTCGAGGGCACACACCTCACCATAACACAGGCCACATGGGAAAAGCCCACAGCTAACATACTTGCGGGTGAAAAGCTAAAAGCCCTTCCTCCAGGATCAAGAGTAAGACAAGGAAGCCCCCCCCGCCCGTTTTATTCAACAGAACCTAGCCAGCACATCAGGCAACATAAATAAGAGGCACCCAAGTTGGAAAAGAAAAAGTAAAACTATTTGCAGATGACACATACAAAAAACCCTAAAAATTCCAACCAAAAAACCGTTAGAACTTTCAAGCGGATTCAGTGAAGCAGGAGGATACAAAATCCACATACGAAAATCTGTTGTTTCTTATACACAGATTGAACAAACTATTAGGGGAGGTCACGGAGGTGACGTGGCCACCCGCCAGGGGCAGGACCCGGACAGTCCGGTTCCTCACCCCCGCCCCTGGGACGTGCATCCCGCTTGCCTTCCCCACTCCCCGAGGCTGCCCAAGGACACAGCCTTGAGAGAGCGATAGGGTGTAGAGACCATCTGGAAGGCAGGAGGCTGAACCCATGAAGGCCTCTATATAGCCTCCGAAGATGCTGGCAGGTGGGCGTGGAGACGTCTTGCTTGCTCCGCCCCCGCCAAGCTTCCCAGGTAAGTCCCCTTGCTTACGAAGTCTGCGCCCTACCCGTCCAGAGCGGCCCGCCTCTTTCTGGGTCCCTCCCTACCCTCCGCATCGCACGGGGCCGGTTCAGACCGCACCCCAACCATGGGAAAGCCAGCCTGGAGACCAAACACATGGTCCGCGGGGGAAGTCCCCAGTTGGCCAGTGACCACCGTGTGGCGCAGGGTGGCCCCTACATCAGATGCTGGGGGACCCCTCCGTGACTACGGGGACACCCCGAAAGCACAGGCCACTTTAACATGCTCGTCGGAGAAACTGCACGGATGGCCATGCGGCAGAGCGAATGGGGCGGGGGGGGGGGAGGGGGCAAGGAGAGGGGAAGCAGCGGGCTTCGGACGGCTGGACGGCCGAGGCACCCTGCACTGGCAGACCCCTAATACAAGAGCAAGCAAGAGCAGCCCCCCGGTTCAGGCAACTCTCCTGACAAGGGGGTCTCCTCCCTCTGAGCTCGTGGACACGCTGCCAAGTTCCAGCTGAAGGCCGGGGGGAGCATCCCGCACGGCGATGGCTGCCCCAACCGCACCGGGGCCGGAGAAAAGGAGCCACATCCCCACACACCCTGCCGCCCTCCAGCAGGGGCCCTCCAGCAGGGGCTGCGCGGCGCGCTTACAGGAAGTGCAAGGTACTTAGGTCCTCATACTGGATTATTCTAGCCCGCAGGGAGGCTTGGCCCAATGAGGGGGAGCTTCCTGGGCATGCGGGACCTCAGGAATCTACAGAGAAGTCCAGCGAATTCTTAGGGAGTTGGGAACGAGACGGGCCACCTGCATCCTGGTCTCTGAAAGCCCTGATAGGGCCCCGTCATGGCAGGAAGGAAAGCCAGCTCCAGTCGGCCCCTAGCACGGAGTACGGGCTGCTCACAGGCACACTGAGCCCACTTGTGCAACACAGACATTCACAGGGTGCTGTGGGAGAGACCCGGGACCAAGACGGAGCTCAAAAGGCCACCCCCAATCGACCGGAAAGGGTCTGGAGAATGGAACCTGGAAGCACATGGACTTGACCTCATTGCTGCGGGGGTCCCCAGCGGAACAGAGCAGTCAGCCTGTGGAAAGCCTTAAAACCTGAGCAACGATGCCCGTCAAGAAAGTCCCTTGATACTGCCAACTGGGCATCCTCCCCCTCCCCGAGAACGTGGGGTCTCTCTCTCCCCAGGACTAGGGAACACACCCGGTCTGGTATCCTACCAGGTCAAACTCTTAAGGGTGCATTCCACCCGAGGGCTAATCAAACCAGTGCTGAGGGCAAACGCCCCAACTGAGGAACCTGGGAGCCTGCCACCCCCTCAAAGAGTAACTGTCACACAATACGCGCCACACGGGGATAGAGGAGAAAACCTCCAAGAGCGACACCAAGGGGGCGCCACACGCCCTGCCCTGGCACAAGCCTTGTACAGAAGCTCCCTTATTCCTGAACCTGCCCCACGTCGGTCTGGAGCGGCCTGCCTCTCTTCGTTCTCTCTCTGGCCCTGCCCTGTGCATATGGGGGCTGGTTTCAGATGATACCTGGAAGGCTCCTGAAGAGTTTGCAAACCCACATTATCAGAAAGACAAATTAAGAAAATAATCCCATTTACACTTGTATCCAAAAAAACCCAAAACACTAGAAATGAATTCAACCAAGGCGGTGAAAGACCTGTACTCTGCAACTGTAAGATATGAAAGAAACTGAAGATGACACACATGAAAAGACACTCCACGTTCATAGATCAGCTAAAATGCCCATACTACCCAAAGTAGTCTACAGATCCAATGCAATCTCTAGCAAATTCCAATGGAAATTTTACAGACACAGAACAATCCTAAAATTCGTATGGAACCACAAAGGACCCCGAGTAGCCAGACCAATCTTGAGAAAGCTAGAGATCTCACGCTCCCTGATTTCAAACTGTATTACAAAGCTACAGAAATCAAAATACTATTGGTACTGGCATAAAAGCACACACGCAGATAAAACAAAATAGCCCAGAAATAAACCCATACTTATATGGTCGATTAATTTATGACAAAGGAGCCAAGAATACACAACGGGGAAAAAACAGTCTCTTCAATAATGGTTTTGGGAAAATGGAGGCCACGAGCAAAAGAATGAAACTGGACAAAGACATTTTTTCCACAGACAGATGGCCAACAGGTACACGAAAAGGAGCTGAACATCATGAGTCATCAGGGAAATGCATATCAGAACCACAATGGGCTCTCACCTCACACCTGTCAGAATGGCTATTACCAAAAAGATAAGAAACAACAAGTGTCGGTGAGGATGTGGGAAAACGGAACCCTCTTGCACTGTTGGTGGGAGCGTAAACTGGTGCAGCCACTGTGGAAAACAGTATAGAGGTTCATCAAACAATTAAAACTAGAACTACCATATGATCCAGCAATTCCATTTCTAGGTATTTATCCAAGGAAAAGGAAAACACTAATTCAAAAAGATTTCTGGACCTTGTTTACTGCAGATTTAGAATCACCAAGACATGGAACCACCTAAATGTCAACTGTTAGATGAATAAAGAAAACATGTAACTATATACAATATGTGTGTACATACAGAGAAATGTTATTTAGCCACAAAAAATAAAATATTGTCATTTGCAACCACATGGATGGACCTTGAAAATACTACGCTGAGTGAAATAAACAGAGAAAGACAAATACTGTATGTTCTCACTCATATATGGACTCTCTTTAAAAAAAAAAAAAAGCAACTCAAATACAGAGAACAGATTTGTAACTGTGGGGAGGGGAACTGCAAAAGGGGTAAAGGTGGTCAAAAGGTACAAATTCCCAGTTTTAAGATACATAAGCCCCAGGGATCTAAGGCACAATATGGTGACAACAAATATCGTACTGCACATTTGAAAGAGGCTAAGAGATCTTAAAAGTTCTCATCACAAGAGGGGGCACCTGGGTGGCTGAGTTACTGAAGCGTCTAACTCTTGATACGGGCTCAAGTCATGATCTCAGGGTTGTGAGATCAAGCTGAGCCCTGCTTCGGACTCCACACAGGGTATGGAGCCTGCTTGAGATTCTCCCTCTCCCTCTGCCCCTCCCATCCCCAAAAAAAAGTTCTCATCACAAGAAAAAGCACTTTCTGTAATTCCATGTGGTGATAAAGCATAACTGGACTTATTGTAGCCATTATTTTGCAACATACACGCATACCAAGTCATCACACTCTCCCTGAAACTAATCTTACATGTCAGTTATACCTCGGAAAAGAAAAACAAAACAAAAATGCCGCAAAATAATCTAGTAATGTGTGTTTAAGCACACTGTTCTGGAAGGATTTCTCCTAAGTCTTGAATTTTGAATAAACAGAATTTAACAATTAAAAAAGAAAAAGGTGCAAAGTTCAGAGGGAAGATGAATTTAGTCCGACACTTGCTGTGGCTGCAGTGCCTAAGGAACACTGAGATGAACCTAAGGGCGGGAATACAGAGAGAAATCTAGACTGGGAGACTCCAATCATCACGGGAGAAAGAGGAGTCAGAGCAAGGGAAATGGATACATTAGAAGAACTGAGAATGGAACTCCCAGGAGAATCAATGTTAAGGGATGGAGAAAGCCAGGCCTCCAAAGGAGAGGGAGAAACTGCTGGAAAAGTACGAGAAAACCAGAGCGCCGTCACCACCACCCCTCCTCTTCCCCCGGATCCCTGTTTCCCAGTGGCCCCAGGGACCTCCCCAGAGAGGAGGGGAGCAAGGCAGGGTTCTCAGCTCACCTGGAAGCCCGACCCTGATAGGAGAAACCTTGTCTCTTGAAGTAATCAACCGCATCATCAAGGCTGGTCTTGAGAGTGTTCACCCGCACAAATCGAGGCACCTGGGAGGCTAGGAATCAGCAGTCAGTGGGCAGGATCGAGGCCCTCTCCTCTGAGGGCCTGACAGCTACCCTCCTCCCAACAACTCCTTCCAGCTCACCTGTGCCAGGCCTGGATCCCACTTGCAACAGGTCCTCGTTGCGGCTCACACGGCGCTGAACCTTGAGCCGGGCCAACTCAGCCTTCAGCCTTGCCTGGTGCCGGTCTAACAAAGGTTTCCATCGGCCCCCGCCCCCTCTGAAGCCTTTCCCCAGCAACAACTCATACACTAGCACCTAGGGATGGGGAAAGAACGAGAAAAAACCCTAAGGATAGCGTTGGAACTGGAGGAGCTAACCAAACCGCTTATCGAGGCAGTAACAGATAAAAGTGAGGTATTTTGCCCAAGACCACACGAAAGATTAACGGCAAACACAGGAGCTGAGCCCTGTGTCTTGCTTCCCTGCCCCGAACCGTCTCCCCAGGGCTGCTCACCAGCAGAGCCCCGGATCCTAACCCTCCTCCTTGTCAACACCACCCTTTTGTTTTAGCTAGAGTCCCCGCCGTGGCTACTTAGCAATTCTGTTCTTAATTTCCACACGAGCCTCAAAGGTACAGCACTTTCATCCGACCTCAAATAATGACCCGGCTAGAGGCTGCTCATCCGCATTTCATAGAGGCGACTTGCTGAAGTCACGCCGTGGACGGTACGGCGCTGAGACCGGTCCGGAGAGGCTCACAGCCCCGCCCCGCCCCGCCCCCTGGCCCCGCTACCTTGGCCAGGTGCGGCCGCAGCTTCTTCTCGGCGCGGAGGAGGCCGGCGCTGGCGATCACGGCGTCCAGCACGGCGGCGTAGCGCTGCGTCTCGCACACGAGCGCGTACAGCTGCTTCACGTTCTGCGCGCGGCCGAGAGAACACCGGCTGAGGCGGGGGCCGGGCCCAGCTGGCCCCCCTCCGCAGCCCCTTCTCTCCCCCGCCGGGCCCGAACCACGAACCCCCCGCTACCTGGAAGCTGCTGGCGTACACCAGCCCCTTGATGGAGCCCCGTCGGCTTTCCACGCCCGCCAGCACAGACGCCGCGGTCGCGTACAGCGCCATGCTTCGCTCCCACGCGCCTTTACGGCTCTGTCGCGAAACACGCCCGCCTCGGCACCGCCCTGTCCGCCCGCACTTCCGGGGCAAAGGGCACGGAGGTTCCGACCCGGAAACCCCAGTGCCCTTCCAGGGCTTCCGAGGCCTGTGTGAGGTGGAGTGCTGGGAGAGCGTTTTCCCCTCCTTTTCGTACCTCTTCCATTTTTTTTCTTCCAATCTTTGCCAGAGAGGCAATAGGATTTTACTGTTTTGTTATGGAGCTTGAATATTTTTGTGTTTATGGGTCCTTTGCATTCTAACACGTTAATGTCTTTTGGTCACTCTTCTACCATCTCTTAGTGTCCTTTGTATGTTAACAATATATACCTCGTCTTAGGTTATTTTTCTACAATTTACTGTTGCTTTTTAATGTGGCTTATTGTTTTGGACTTTTTTTAAAATTATGGTTTCTGCCTTTGATGTCATACTTAGAAATGCCTTCTTCACATCTTTACAATATAGCAGTCACTATGCCTTCATTTTTTCACACCTTTAACCATTTAGAATTCAGTTTGGCACATGATGTGAGGAAGAGTGCTTTGTTTCCAAATGGCTGGCTTTTCGTGCATTGTAATAATTCACTTATAGCAAAGTTTCCCCAGCTGACCTCCTTGTTCTCCACAAGGATTGTGTAGGATTTGCCTCTGTCCCCAGCATCCATGTGGTTACCGGTACACATTAAGTTGATTGAATAAATCTAGTACATGTGTATTTCAAGCATTCAAGTAGACAGGCCTCCATGGACCAGAATACTCCTGCCTGTACGTTCTCTGTATTGCCAACAGCACATCAGCAAGCATTTTGCAAGGGAATTGACTCTAACATCAAAATTGTTTCAACGTTTAATCCAGTCCTGTGGCTCCAGGTTGGTTTATGGTGATCTTTGAGTGGAAACCCCACCCCCAAGTGAGTAACATCTATTTTATTTTCATAGCACCTGTTCCTTATGTAGTTATGATTTATTCTCTAGCTGGCTCCCTGAGGGCAAATCCTGTTTGACACTCATTTATCCGTGCCTCCTAAACCAGTGTTCTTCTCACAGTAAGGACCTAACATCTGTTGTGTGAGTGAAGAAGTGAATGAATGGGAGCACAAACATACGGACAGCTGGACAGCCAGCTGTGCCAGTTAACCCATCCTAAAACAATCCCAAGCCCCACTCCTTCAGGTGAGTGGTTAACAAGTGCATCAAGATTAATAAAGTCCACAGTTGACTCAGATTTTAGCTTTTACTTAATGTCTATTTTCTGTTCAGAAGTCTCATCTAGGACACCACGTTAAATTCAGTTGTCATGTCTCCTTGGCTGTGACAATTTCTCAGACTTTCCTGCTATTTGATGACCTTGATGGTGTTGAGGAATCCCGGTCAGTGTTTTGTAGAATGTCTCTCATTTGGGATTTGTCTAATTTTTTTTTTCTCATTATCAGATTGGGCTTATGGGTTTTTGGAAGACTACAGGTAAAGTACCATCCTCATCAGATCACATCAAGGGCATATAGTATCAACATGACCTTCACTGTTGATGTTAACCTTGATCACCTGGCTAAGATTCACATTTCTCCACTGTAAACTAGTCTTTATCCCTCTGTCCCCTCTGGAAAGTCACTATGCACAGCCCACGCTTTAAGGAGTAGGGGGTTATACTCTACCTCTTTGAGGGGAAAGTAGCTACATAAATTATTTGGAATTCTTCTGCAGAATGCTCTCTTCTCCCAGATTTATTTAATTAGTCAATCGTTTATCAGTATGGACTCATGGATATTTACTTTATACTTTGAGTTGTAATCCAGTACAGGTATCCTGTTTTTTTGTTTTTTGTTTTGTTTTGTTTTGTTCTTAAAGTATGCTCGACACCCAGTGTGGAGCCTATGTGGGGTTTGATCTCACCACCCTGAGATCAAGACCTGAGCTGAGATCAAGAGTTGGATGCTCGACTGAGCACCCAGGCACCCCATCCCCGCTTTTTGAAAGTTTGCATTACACCACTTCACTTTTATGAAAGACCTAGAGTAGTACCTGTTTTTGTTAACTGAAAGAAATCCTAAGAGGATTTTCACTTTTATGAAAAAAGGGGAAAAGTAAAAATAGTATTGTTTTGCAGCAAGCCCTTGTAGAGGCAGCACACACCCCAGTGAGAGTGACGCTGCCAAGCTCCTTCCCCAAGATCTACAAACGCAGCATCTCACCATCAAGCCTCCGTAGCTCTGCACTGTGCTTTATCTCAATTGACTGTGTGGATTCATTTGCAAGGTGTATCCTAAGGTAAGAAAAGCTTAAAAGCAGTTAATTTGGGGGGTCTGGTAACACTAAAAAATGTTTCCATATAAAGTAATGGTAATTGCTGATTCTCATTACTCCACTTCAGCTAATGACAGATTTCACAGGAACACTCACTCTACTTTCTGATAGTGGGGAAACCTGTACTGTTTTGTCACTCAAATTTTTCCCATTTTGGCCACTGGGAGTGCTTTCAGTGGGCTCCCATGTCCCTTTTTTTTAAGATTTTTTTTAAAGATTTATTTATTTTGAGAGAGTGAGAATGAGGGGGAGAGAGAGTACGAGAGGGGGGAGGGTCAGAGGGAGAAGCAGACTCCCTGCCGAGCAGGGAGCCCGATGCGGGACTCGATCCCAGGACTCTAGGATCATGACCTGAGCCGAAGGCAGTCGCCCAACCAACGGAGCCACCCAGGCGCCCTCCCATGTCCCTTTGAAAGGCCTCTATTATTGTAGGGGTTTTTCACACCTTTGTTTGTGAGCGCTTCCTGGCACTCCAAGCGGCTTATGGCTCAGGGTATTTCCTGCCCCAGTCCTAGAACCAGCTATTTCTCCAAAGAGCCCTGATTCCTCTTCATTGGAGAATGGCTATTAGGAGCCAAGATGTGGACGCTAGGTGACCTGTGCCTTATAATGTCTAATACGTGACCCCTAGAAAACTTCAACCTGCATATGTGGCTCATGTGTTTCTGTAGGACCAGTTGTAGTCTCCTCTATCCTAAAAATGCCTTCTCTTAATCTCACCTTCTCTCAAACTCATGACCCAGTTTTCTTCCCTTCCCCATCCAGCTGCTTAAAACAAGAATCAGCAGTGATTGCCTTTACTTCTTCCTCATGTACTATGTAACCCCCTGCAGTCTGTCTTCCACGCTAGTCCACAGACTCGGCTTCCTCCAAGGCCACCAAGAATCTCCTAATATTCCTCAGGCCTTTCCTGCTGAGGCTGGGTTTTCACCGCCCTGCGGGGCACACCTTCTCTGTTGGAAAGCTTTGGCTTCCACGATCTTTGCTGCTGGCACTCCCTCCCAGTTCTCTGATCATTTCTACGGTTCTTTGGCAACCTTGTCTAAACTGCTTAAGTTCTGCTGTTCCATCCTGACCTCCTTTCTGTCGGCTAGTATTTTCTCCCTGGGCAGACTCTCCCACCCCCACGCTGTCATTACTACAGAACAAAGTTAATATACACTAAAATAGTATCGATGGTCCTCCATGGTCTAGCCTCCACCCCCTCTGCAGGTCCAGCTCCAGCTGCAGCATCCCTCCGTGGACTGGACCCCCCAAAACTCCTCTCCTCTGCCTGTATTCCACTTCTTTCAGCTTAAATGCCAACTCCACATAATGAATGAACTGCTCTTTCATCTGCCTTCTCCATATTGAATTGATATTTTGGTTACAAGCACAAACATTAACTCTCGCCAGCCAAACAAGAGGGGATTTACTGAGTGCAGAGGTATGCCACTGTGTGTCAGCAGCTGGCGGGTGCAGAGATGAGCACACAATGGTAGTTGAGGTGAACTTAAAGAAGGGCATGTTTACGAAAGGATGGTCAGAGTTAAGGGAAACTAGAGGTGGTGCAGTCCTCGGGGCTGGTGACAGCACTGCTCACTGCCAGGCCTGAAGGAACAAGGGAGAGCAACAGAGGAAAGGGCCACCTGCCAAGGATCTTCAGATGAGGAAAGCTGCCAACCCACAGCCCAGCAGGCAGGAAACGAGAAAAATAATACCTTGAACTCCCTTTCCTGCCCTTGGATCTCCTGCCAGTCCCTCCCATCTGCTAAACCCAACAGGAAGCCAGAGGGTTTTGCATTCCACTGGGGCCAGTCTCCCAGGACAGAGAACAGGGTGGAGAAGGGAGGAGAGAGGCAGAGTGGATACAGAGGGCCACAATCTTCAGCCAAGTCATGGTACTGAAGAGCTGCATAACCAAAAACCAGGTCTGCAAGGTGTCAAACACACAGCAACCAAGACCAAGGCCCAACAGATTCAGCCAGGAAAGATACAACAAGCACCTTTTGATTCAGACAGCTTATTACTTACACAGGCAGATTAGCCAAAGGTGCCAGCTCCACATGGTCCTTGTTGCACACAACAGGAGGAGGACTACAACGAGGGTTGGGGGATTTCCCATTGCTGAGAAGCCAGTTCTAGATGCAGTTAAGCTGTTTTACAGTCTACAGCTCTGCTCAGCGGGAGGCGGTGCAGGAAGTTTCACACTTACCAGATCCTGGGAGGCGACCTCTCCTGACAGTCTCCCATGGGATAAGACCAATGCCTCACAAACCTCTCATGCCTCACAAACCTCCCATCCTCTCGGGTTCCTGGAGGATCACTTAGGCTGCGGGTCAAGCCTCTGCCTGTGTGGGCAATGTGGGTAAGCGCCAGGGCACCAGGACAGTGGTTCCCCAGGGAAGTAGCTCAGGCAACTCCACAGAGCTCAGTGGCACAAGGCTGAGAAGCTTCTCTCTAAAGCACTAGGTCTCAGATGACTCAGCCCCAACCATTCTCTCTTCCAACTTTCAAATTCTTGGGAGAGAATTCAGCTGTCCCAGCTTTGGTCTGGATGGACACCATCAGCTGTGGCCAGGGGCAGACTTGCCATGAACAGATGGAGGCTCTGGGCCTGCTCCCACGTGCCCAGCAGCTTTCAGGGACAGGCCACGTCCATCTGGACCCTACTTGCTTCTGCTCTGAAGAAGTGTTATTTCCATATCAACTAATGGAGA